TTTTTCCACTCAGGAAAACGCAAAGGAGTACAAAATGTAACGAGGGAATCGGCCCGCCCGTCAATCCCCCCTTTCCCAGGAGGGCCCGGTCCCAGCACAAAGACCGCCTTCAACACAGGCAAAGACCTTCCCCTCTCTCATCCAGCTAATGGGAATGCGGGGTGGGGATCGACTGACTGGGGAGGTCTGCGTGGGCATGGGGCTTAAGGCCCAAGAGCGGGGGAGAGGGGTTGATGGGGGCCGGACAACCTCGGGGAGGCTAGACACTGAGGTTGGTGCTTTGAGGGAGGGGGCCGGGCCTCACCTTCGCCCGCTTGCGCCGGCTGGTCCGTCGCCCCTCCGGAGTCTCTGCGATTCCCGTTTCCATGGGGGTCGCAGATCCAGGCACGACGGTAGGCCCGGCCTGAGGTGCGGCGGATCCTGGCGGCTCGGCGAGGCCCCCGGGCGGCGAGGCCCGCGGAGGCTCCTTCTTGCGGGGAGTGCGCTCCCCGGCCACTCCCGGCCCGGCCTCTGCAGGGCCGGACGGGCCCCCCGGCGGCGCGGCCACCTCTGAGCCGTTCTCCGAGCCCGCCGCGGCCCCGGCGCCGGCCTCCGAGCCAGCTGCCGCCGCTGCGGCCGCCGCGGCCGCGGCCGCTGCAGCCGCCGCCTTCTTCCCGGACAACATCTCGGGCCGCCTGGCTGCCGACAGCCGAAGGGGCCGTTCAACCTGTGAGTCCGTGGGTCCGCAACCACCTGGACTCGCTTCACTTCACGCAGTCCGCGGGCCAACGACCGCCGCCGCGTACGCACGCGCGAAGCGCGCTCCCGCCGCGTCGGGACAATAACGCCGGGGACGCCCACGGCCCCGCCCTCCCCCGCCCCCCGCTGCCATAAAATGGCGTTCTGGTGGCTAGAGCGGCACCGTGGCGGAGAACGCGATGCTTTCCTAGAGCGTCCCCTTGGCCTTCAGAGTTGGTCTCAGCACTGTCCTGGTCCTAGGGCTTCTGGGCCAGACTGCACCTCCGAGGGCGACCGTTTCATCCAGGGACTTGGACAGACTTATAAATCTATTCACCCATTCATTCATTCACCTATTCATTCGTCAATTCAACGAATATTTATTAATGCTTACTAGATGACAAGTTTAATTATGGAGTTCTTGCTGTCAAAGATAGTAGTGGTGGTTTATTCTTTTAACTCCAGGAATCCTTCCCTGACCCAATTCTAAAACAGGCTTTGTGTTCTTCAAGCTTATTTCCACAGAACTATAATTGCTTTTTTACATGTCCCTTTAAAATTTGCTGTAATTTTCAAAACATGATTCCGTTTACATGAAGTCTGAAAACTGGTAAACCTAGTCTCTAGTGATGGAGTCCTATCAGTGGTTGCCTGGGAGGAGTGTGGGGGTTATCTGCAAAAGAGCAGGAGAGAACTTGCTGGGAGTAATGAAAATGTTTTATATCTTGATTGGAGTGGTATATACATTAGTCAAAACTCATTGGACTACACAAGTAAAATAGGTATGTTTTTTTAAAGGTTTTATTTATTTATTTTTCGAGACAGAAGGGAGGGAGATAGAGAGAGAGAGAGAAACATCAATGTGCGGTTGCTGGGGGCCGAGGCCTGCAACCCAGGTATGTGGCCTGACTGGGAATCGAACCTGGGACACTTTGGTTCGCAGCTCGCACTCAATCCACTGAGCTACGCCAGCCAGAAAATAGGTATGTTTTATTTTACATCGATTGCACATCATGAAGTTGACTTTTAAAAACTAAGCAAACAAAAAAGAAAGCAATAGCTGTGCAGGAAGTTGTAGTCCCAGGACAACATGTGGCTCGGCTGTGAGCTACATTGGCATAGTAACAAGCAATGAATATTGTTTTAACCCAAGTGATAGAATCATATTGAGAGAATGGAGAAAAGAGAAAGTTTGTGGAGGAGAGGGGTGAGAGGGTGAGAGGGGTTTATAGAAGGGGGTGAAGTGAGGATAAGAGAGATTCTGCATGGGAGCTAAATCCTCATCTCCCATCATGAAAAGATAATATATAACATCAACATTGAAAAATCAAGAAATAGTCCTGGCTGGTGTGGCTCAGTGGATTGAGTGCTGGCCTGTGAACCAAAGGGTCGCCAGTTCAATTCCCAGTCAGGACACATGCCTGGGTTGCAGGCCAGGTCCCCAGCTGGGGGCATAACAGAGAAACATTGATGTTTCTCTCTCTCTCTCTAAAAATAAAATAAATAAAATCTCTTTAAAAAAGAAATAAAAAATAACAGTATAAACATACTATTTGGCTGTATCAAGATAAATATCAGAAGATCAATACCAGCTAAAAAAGCTGGATTTATCTCTCTATGTCATAGAACTTGAGGGTGGGAAGGGGTGAGACAGGAGACAAGCCTGTTTGTTCTACATCCGGTAGTTTGTTTTTTTTTTTTAATTTTAAGCAACCAAGTCTTTTTTTTATGACTCATCCAACTCCTAACTTTCTACTTACCAAGATCAAAAATTATGAAATTCTACCAGTGCTGAAGTCATTTGCAAGTAATAGTTCATACACACACCCTATGGTTCTATGTGACTTGTTTAACATATAATAATTTGTTAAAACTTAAAATTAGATTTTTAAAATATCCATAAGGTTTAATCCAACAATTTCACTTTCAGGAAAACATTCTCTGGAAATGTTTAAGTATGGGTACAAAGATTTAACTTCAATGCTGTTTATCTCAAGTTATATATAATAACAATCAAGAAGAACTAAACTAAAGGCCCAGAAAGTGGTGACTAATTGAATATATTAGGATATCATAGCCATTGAAATTGCTATTTGAACATTAAGAACTTCCATAAAAAATAATGGACATATGTCAAAGATTTTTCACTTTTAAAAGTGAATTGATTTTAAAGAAAGAGAGAGAATCATTGACTTGTTGTTCCACTCATTTATGCATTCATTGGTTGATTCTTGTATGTGCCTTGACGGGGGATCAAACCCACAAACTTGGCATATCAGGACAATGCTCTAATCAACTGAGCTACCAGGCCAGGGCCAAAGATTGACTGACTGACTGATTTTATTATCGAGAGAAACAGCAGGATGATAAAGCTTGTTCAAAGGAGAACATGAAAAATTCCTATATTCAGTCATTGCTCAGTGGAAGACAGAATGCTAGAATAAGATTGTGAACTATTTTTAAATAAGGAAAATGTAGTTAATGTCTTACGATGCCATAATACTAAACTTTGGGGATTATCTTTTCTCTTAGACAGAACCATTTGCATTTATTTGCCCTCCCCCCAAAATATCATTTGCAACTTATCCATTTTCTTTCCAGAAATACAGGCATATCTTAAAGACACTGCGATTTTGGTTCCAGACCACCATGACAAAGCGAGCATCACGATCAAGTCAGTGTAATCTTTTTGCTGACGGAGGGAGTAGCCTTCGCTTTGTGAAAAATGCAACACCTGTGAAGTACATAAAGCAAAATACACCCTGGCTGGCGTAGCTCAGTGGATTGAGCCCGAGCTGTGAACCAAAGCATCGCAGGTTCGATTCCCAGTCAGGGTACATGCCTGGGTTGCAGGCCATGGCCCCCAGCAACCACACATTGATGTTTCTCTCTCTCTCTCTTTCTCCCTTCTTTCCCTCTCTAAAAATAAATAAATAAAATCTTTAAAAAAAAAGCAAAACACAATAAAGTGAGGTAGGCCTGTAACTAATTTCATTTTCTTAAATTGTATTAAAATATATATAACATAAAGGTTACCATCTTAACCATGTTTTATTTATTTATTTTTAAAGATTTGATTTATTTACTTTTAGAGAGAGGGGAAAGAAGGGAGAAAGAGAGGGAGAGAAACATTAATGTTCGAGAGATACACAGATAGCTTGCCTCTCCGACCCCTCTCCGCCCCGACTGGGGACCTGGCCGGCAATCCAAGCACGTGCTCTGACCGGGGACTGAACCGCAGGCTGGAGGCACTCAATCCACTGAGCCACACCAGCTGGGACTTAACCATTTTTACATGTACAGTTCACTAGTGTTAATTACATTCACATGGTCATACAAACAATCTCCAGAACTCTTTTCATCTTGAAAACCTCTGTACCCATAGACAGTCCCTCTCCAACACTCCCCTGCCCCACCCCCAGCCCCTCCAACCACTGTTCTATTTTCTGTCTCTATAGCCTTGACCACTCGAAATATTTCACATCAGTGAAATCAAACAGCTTTTGTCTTTTTGTGACTGGCTTCTTTCAGTTAGCGTAATCGCCTCTAACTTCACCCACGTTGTAGCATTCATTTATCCATTCATCTGTCGATGGATTTTTGGGTGGCTCCCACCTTTCGACCATTGTGAGTCATGCTGCTACGGACATGGGTGCGCGAATCTCACTTCGAGACCCTGCTTTAGGTTGTTTGGGGTGCATATTCCCGAGTGGAATTGCTAGAGCAACTTGCCCGTTTTTAAAAAGTTAACATCTGACTCCACAGAGTGGGAACTAATCAATATTTAAGAGTAAGTCAAATAAAGTTACTTTATCCTAAAGTATCGGGTGACCCACAGGCAGGCCAGTTAGAGCATATTCTAGTATTATTGTGAACAGACTTGCCGTAAAGTTTGAGCCTTATTTCCAAATGTTGGGTTAATTTTTCTTTGCAGTCTCCCTCCCTGTGAGGGCAGCGGATGTGTTCCTGGCTGTTTTATTCTCAGTGGCTAAGCCCAGAAGTTCTGTCGAATGAATGAGGCATCACTAAGGTCTGCATCACCTGGCTCTTGTGAGGGCATTATGAGGTGATGCTTGCAAACTGCCTGTCAAAGTCTGACACATAGTGACCGCTTAAGACATAGGAGTAGTCAATCTTATTGTTATGTGGCAACGGGGGAGGGGTGCTGCTGGGGGCCAGTCATGACTTACAGGACAGGGCATCCATGACTCCTGTTATGGAGGCAACTGTCCCAGAGAGGTAGCTGAGGCTGGGTCTTGGGGCCTGGGCGCCACCAAGCCAGAATGCTGGGAGAACTAATATCTCTTCTTAGGAATCTCCATGACATACTTGATTCCTCAGGTGTCATCGGAGCATTGGTGGCTTGGCTGATCAGCTATAAGCCAGCCTTGTTTGGGTTCCTATTCCTTCTGCTGTTGCTTAGCAACTGGCTGGTCAAGTATGAACTGAAGCCCACCCCCCCAAAGTCCCAGCAGGTGAGCAAGAGGAGCCTTGAGCTTCAGCTGAGGGTGAGGAGATATTCACAGCTAGATTGGGGCTTGGGAGACAGGGAAGGTGTCAGAATAACGGGGCACGACTGAGGAACCCACGACTCCGGTCTGCATCCCTGCTCTGCAGCTGCCTCTTGGGCATTGAAGCACCAAACACAACCTTCTCAAGGCTTCCGATGTCCTGGCTATAAGGTTGGGACTGTCCCACACTCTCCTACTTCAGGTTTGATGTCCACATGCTTTGGCAACAGTAACAACTCCTTTAAAGGAAAAACGAAACTAAAGACACGTGTAAAACATAGGTACATCTCTAAAATATAACAATGATGATAGGAGAGATGTACAAGGATTATGACATATACAAATCTAAAAATATGCCAAACAACATCCTATCTTGTTTATGAATGCATGTACTTAGTGAAATACATTAAGGCAGGATTTTTCTTTTTTAAAAGAGTTTATTTTTTTTATTTCTAGAGAGAGGGGAAGGGAGGGAGAAAGAGAGGGAGAAAAACATAAACATGTGGTTGCCTCTCACGCGCCCCCTACTGGGGACCTGGCCTGCAACCCAGGCATGTGCCCTGACTGGGAATTGAACTGGCTACCCTTTGGTTTGCAGGCTGGCGCTCAATCCACTGAGCCACACCAGCCAGGGGAGGGCAGGATTTTTTCAACTTCCACGTGATTGACATTTCGGGCCGGATAATTCTTTTTGTGAGGGACTGTCCTGTGCATTGTTAGATGTTTAGCAGCTTCCTCAGCCTCTGCCCATAAGATGCCAATAGCATCTGTCACCCCTTTTGTGACAACCAAAAGTGTCTGCAGATGTTGCCAAAGGTCCCCTGGGTAGGGCAAAATAGCCTCTCATTGCAAACCACTGCTAGTTAAAAAAGTGCACGGAAAACACAGACACGGAATTCAAGGCTGCAGTGGAGACGAGGTTCAGGGAGGGAGGGGGACACTCTAGGAGAGGGACCCACCGTTACATTTGTGATATTTTATTTCTGAAGCTGGTGTGGGAACGTGGATATTTGTTGTAATCATTACTTGTTTTTGTGAAGGGCTCCAAAAAGAAAAGATGAAGCATTATTAGGCTCAGTGAGGGGGTAGATGAGGAATACAGAGGTCAGAGCGTGTTGTCTCCTCTGAGACTCGGCAGCTGGAGCCCTTGCAGGGCCGGGTGGGACTCTCGGGCGTGCGGGGAAAGCACGGCTCTGGAGACGTACATTTGGGTTAAGGTTTTACATTCTTTGTGAGCGCAGATTGGCGGCCCTATTATTGATGCCTATGGACCAAAGGGAACTGTGGGTCATGGGTGCGTGGGGTCTCCCCTGAAGGCTGGGGGTGCTGAGAGAGGGACCTTCCCCCACAGGGCCCCAGCGCTCTCACCCACAGGGCACTCTCCTGGAGGGCTGGTTGTGCAAGTTGAGATGACACTTATAATCATCAGGCAGGGGAAGAGGGCGCCTATCACGGTTAACCAGCCTCTCTTCTTTCCCTGCTGGTGGGGCCCTTAGGAAGAGAAAGAGAAACCAAAGACCCCTGAAGCCAAACCCAATGGCCCCACCATGAACATGAGACAAATCGAGAGACTGCACGCCTGCTTCGCCCTCCAGGACAAGATCCTTGAGCGGCTGATGGTCAGTGAGATGAAGCTGAAGGTCCTGGAGAATCAGATGTTCATCTTGTGGAATAAGCTGAGCCGCCAGGACAGGTGGAGCCGCCGGCGGGCTCTTCCTGCAGGGCAGCAGCACAGGCTGAGGGAGCGCGAGTCAGGGGTCTCCATCTTCTCCGAGTGCACGTCCCACTCCCCCTGACGCCGTCCCCTCCGAGCGAGCCTGGGTGGCTGGCCTCTTCCAGTGTCACCTTTACTCAGTAAAGCCCTGTCGGAGACCTTTGGATTTTCTTAGTAAATCACAACACAGGAGAGGACCGAGGCTGCAGGGTCACTCGCCAGATCAGACGCGCAGCACCCCCCCCCCAACCCCAGACACAGCCTGCGGGCCCTAGAGCCCGGCCCCTCCCCCCTTGCAGCAGGGTGTTGCAGCAGGGTGCGGGGTGGGGCCCTGGCCCTGGTTCAGGGCGCTGCGTTCCTGTCCGCCCTGAGTCTCGAAGCAGTGGCCTCCCCAATGCCTGCCCTGCCCCCAGGCTCCCCCCACCCCCGCTCTGCACCCAGAGGCCCCGAGTGCGTCCCTGGCCCGTTCTCAGGCCAACGTCTCTCTCCGTGGGTGGCAGAACAAAACCCACACACCCTGCTCCGTGCTCAGGCCCTCCATGATCAAATGATCAGACCCCCTTTCCCGGCCTTCCCCTCCCACTTCTCGCCCCCACATGCTTCATACTCTGTGTCCGGGGACCCTGAACGTCAGGCATGAGGGTATCACCTGTGTGATTTTTGCCGTGGTTGTGAACCACCTGCATGTTTAACTCAATGTCCCTTTAAATCGACTCTTTCCCCTTAAATAAACTGATGTGTAAAGGGCCACGACGATGAAACAAATAACTGATCTGTAAATTAAAAACAGCATCATTTGCCTGAAACGGAACTTAACTGTCAAACTAAAGACGATGGAAACAAAGCGATGTTATTATGTCCCAACCAGAGCTGGGTTGTCCTCTGAAGGATCCGAACCTGTGAGTTTTGGGTTAAAAAAAAAAGGAGACGTGCAAGTGTTAGCCCTTAAAAGACGAGCTCGCACCAAGCTGAGACTTTTCTCCGTAAGGAGAATTGGAAAGAAAATCACTGCCTCACTGTGACTGCATGCCTTGTTGGTGTCCCACTTAAAGTCATCGCCTTCCAGCCCTGGCCGGGTAGCTCAGTTGGTTAGAGCATTGTCCTGATAGGCCAAGGTCGTGGGTTCGATCCTCAGTCAGGGCACATACGAGAATCAACCAATGAATGCACAAATAGGCGGAACAACAATTCAATGTTTCTCGCTCTCCCTCCTTCCACATTCCTCTCTCTAAAATCAATAAGGAAAAATTAAAAACAGTGTAAAAAAAAGTCATCTCTTTCCCCATAAGTCTCATGGACTCTAACCAAACAGGATGAGATGCATCCACCTCTCTGCTCGCATGGTTTCTTCCCCTGGAATCCCTCTTCTCCCCCTTTCTGCTGTTACAGTTCTCCACTTCTTCCAGAGCTGCCACCCCCAGAAAGCCTCCCTCAACCCGGCCATAATGAATCTCTTTCCTTGGCACTCTCCCAGCATTTTATCTGCCGTTCTACAGCGGAATGTGTCACCACCTGCTGACACTGAGTTTGTACATGTTTCTATATCCCCACCCCCCACGCCTCCAATTAGCGCGTGGACTCCTGGGGACAAGCACAGCATCTCGTTCAGCTGTGGGCCCCCGAGGGCCCCTAACGCAGCGGCTATGTGCCGTCCGCGCTCAGCAAGTAACACCTGTGGTTGCTGAGCGCAGTCTTATGTGCCCTGACGGTCTCTCCGCCCTCTTGTCCCACGGGGACTCTCCTGTGTCCTCGTTTGTTTAAGAGCAGGATCTCTGGAGCCTTAAGTCGGGCTTTAAATCCCAACTCTATCACCTCCCAGCTGTGTGATCTTGGACTACGCGAAGTTGTTTGTTTTTGCTGTACCTTGGTTTTCTCAACCACAAAACGGGGGGAGGGACACTACCGACACCATTTATGACTGCGAGGATTAGAGGAGTCACTACACCCCTGCCCCCGCTAAGATCTTTGCTCCAGTGGCCCCTTCTTGGCGAGGACTCCCGTGGTCACCCTCCTTCGACCTCCAGGCCCCCTCCCCGTCCTTCTCCTGCCTTCTCTGCCAGACGCCCAACCTGCATGGTCTGCATCGTCCGATCCCTTCGCCCTGTGGCTTCCGGTTGAGTTTGGGGGACTGGAATCCCTGGTGGGAGACGAGAGGTTAGGGGGAGGCTGAAGCACCCATCCCCCCAGCTCCCCGCTGTGGCGTTCTTTCAGGCTTGCTCAGGGCCGGCCGGGTCCCTCAATAGAGGGTCACTCCTCTTCTTAGGGACGCTCTATCTACGAGACCTTCTTACAGGTTCCCTTTGGGCCCAGGGGCACTGCACCACGCTTGTTGGTTCCCCATAGCCTGCTCATGCTTTTGGAGGTACTCCCTTTTACATTGCTTCACGGGCCATTGCTAATGGTCTTGCTGCATGGCCAGGCCACTGGGCCTTCAGAACCAGACCATCAGGAGAGTATCCATACGGTAACCCCATGCTGTGGAAACATGCAGCAATTCAGCCACGAACTTGACCTGTATGTGACATGTGAACACACCCACAATAATGCCCTGTTTCTTGACAAGAACATGTGGAAGGGAAAGCTGCTGAAGACTCGGCGGCCCTGGCCGGGTGGCTCAGTTGGAGTGTGGTCCTGATGTGCCAGGGTTTCAGGTTCAATCCCTGGTCAGGGCACATGCAGGAGTCGACCAGTGGGTGCGTGAATGGGTGGAACAGCAAGCCGATGTTTCTCTCTCTCTCCCCGCCCCTTCCTCTCTCTTTCTGAAATTAATAAATAAATAAAAGAAGACTGTGTGGCCATCACATCCACTCTGGGGCCCTGGATCCACGCCTGGACTCCCACGAGAGCGAAGCCACCACGGACACAGGTCCGACACAGCCCGATGGCGATCCGCCTGACCTGTGGAGTCACTGGTGCTCGTGGGGTACGGATTACCTGCCAGTGACGAAGGCCTGTGGCTCAAGGCGACTCGAGGCGTGGCACAACGACCTGTGGGTCTGACCAGTTCACAGCAGGCGCATTGGCCGCTGTGGCCAATGGACACTGCAGGCACATCTGACCCCCGTGGACCTGGTTTAGGATTTGGGTGGCTATTCTCTGCCACCAAATGGTCACCTCGACTCTTGAGGCTCTGCCGAGCCCCTCTGTCCTGTGCTGGAACGTCCCGATGTGACCCACTCTGACGATGGAATCGCCTTCACAGCACCGCCCCCAGCTGTGGGCCCCGTCCACATGGACTGTGCTTGCCCTTCCACACTTGCCTCTGTGGGAGCCAGGTGCAGTCGAGCCTTGGTGGGGCTGGCCCAAGAAGCTGTTATAGTAGCTGCTTCCTCACCGTCCTCTGTGGGCGCCTAGGAGGGGGAGGGGTGCATCAGACATGGCAGGTAGTATGGTGACTGTCCGGTTTTTGTGGGGGTAGATGCTCTGGGCAAAGGACAGGTCATCTGGCTCCACCTGGGCACATGGTGGCCCCCAGCCGATCCAGCAAGAACATATGCAGGCCATCTCAGGAAACAGACAAAGGCAGAGGGGTAAATAACTTCTCCCCTCCCCTTCCAGATCTGAACAAGCAATGCTGGACCACCTCAAGGGCTGCCCAGGCCAGGGCCCGTGGCATGAACCTATCGAAGTACCGCCACCCCACCCACCCCGCCCCCACCCACCATACCCAGCCACGGGCAACTGTGTTGGTGTCTCACGCTGACACTGGCGAGGACATTGCTCCTAGCTGGCCATAGCCACCAACTGCTGTGCCTTGGGCCTCCACAACCACCCGTCTGTCAGCTGCGTGGACGGTGTTGCGGTCCACGGGCAGAATGTCGAGCAGCGCCCTGTGCGTGCCCAGAACTGTTCTGTACTCCTGGTACAGGTCCTTCCTTGCTTTCTCCTCGGACGTGATGTCACCTGCAATATAGACCTCTGAGCTCCAGGTTCAAGTGCCCAGCTGCCCCCTCCCACACCTTCACTCAGACACCTCAAAATTAACGCGATGAACCTGAACTCTGTCCCTCTGCTCCAAACCCCCTCCTCATTGGGGAGGGCGCAGGCTTCCCCGTCTCACTCACCGTAAAAGTCAGCCCCTGCCTCCCAGCTGCTCGGGCCAAAAACACGGGCACTGTTCCCCACTCCCTCTCCTCTCAGCGGCTCCCAGGCCTCCACGAGTCCTATCGGCTCTGCCTGTGAGCACATCCTGAACCTGGGGCCATTCTTCCCGCCTCCGGCGCAGCTCCAAGCCCCCACCTCCTCTCACCTGAGTGGGCCCCTGGCCTCCCGCCCCACCCTTGCCCTGTAGTCTGCTCTCAGCACAGAAGCCGAGGTGCTCCTTGAAAAACATGAGTCGGGTCATGCCCCTCCTCAGCTCCAAACCCTGCGAGGGCTCCCGGCTCCCAGCTCACTCAGAGAACTGAAGTCCTCGTGGCCTGTGAGGCTCTCCGTGACCTGGCCCTCCCAGACCTTTCCCCCCTTTCCTACTCCTCTGGCGCTCACTCAGTCTGCTCCCGATGCTGGCCTCCTTGTGCTTTTCCTGTAACGCGCTAGGCACGCTCTTACGCTAAGGCCTCCGCGTTGGGTGTTCCCCCCACCGTGGACTCTTTTCCTCTGCTGTCTGTCCCTCTAACTCCCTTGCTTCCTTGAGCAGATTTGTTACATGCTCTTTTCTCGATGAGACCGCCCTGACCACCCGGTTTAATATTAGAATCTGCCCCTCTGACCTGGCTCTATTTATTTTCTCACAGCAGGTGGTCACTTTCCAATAGTTCATTTAGCGTATTTGCTATGCTGCCCCTGCTGGAATGTAAGCTCCGGGAGGTCAGGGAGCTTGGTCTGTGCTGTTCACTGAGATATCTCAAGCACCCAGAACGGGGCTCAGCACTTAGTAGGTGCTCAGTAAATGTGTGTCGACAGTGAGTATGTGTTGCTGTGTCTGCTTTGCCGTCATGTCCTCCTCTAGACCCCAGTGCAACCCTTGGTGTATGGCAGCCCCCCAAAGAGTGTCCGGTGAATGACTCCATGGGTTCGGGAGCAAACATGTGAGTTGATAATCAATCAGGGCCTGATTGGGAAAAATCTAAGTATCTTCATAGAGTCTTTCAGAGGGAGAGACACTTTCCCTTTTAAAGTTTAGCTTGTCCTTGATAGCTTTTCAGCCACATTCTTCTTTCTGAACTGTCCTGCTGCTGAGGGTGGAGGCAATTGTTTACTCTCTCTGGGAATGTTCTAGAATGAATTTGGGGACAAAGTGACCTCAACATCCTGTGGGAAGCAGGCCACTTTGAGGGGTAGACCTTTGAAGAAAAAGTTTTGAGTGAGGACAAAGAAAGGAACCAAAGAGAAACCTCTGAAGTCTGGCCCACTTGAACTTGGGACCCTTCTAACTCTCTGTGCTGCCGTTAGTGCCGAGGTTCTGCTCCTAGTTCTCAAAACCTGAACGCTTTCCCCAGAGAAGAGAAATCCAAAAACCCCACAGAGAAGGACTGGGGCTGCTGGCTTGAGTCCCGAAAGTGGAAGGAGAAAGGTGGAGATGAGAGAGTAGAATGGGAGTGAGAGGAGGAGGCGAGAGTAAAATGGGAAAGGTGGGGAGAAGGAGGGGAGAAAGGGTGGGGGAGAAGGCGAGATGGACAGAGGGGAGGAGGGGAGGAGATCTGTGGGGACCCTGGGAGGAAGGGGAAACGACACCAGCACTAGTGACAGTGGCTAATGTTCATTGAGCACTTACTGTGTGACAGCTGCGGCACTGCATGCTTTAGGAGCCTGATCTCACGGAATCCTGGCTCCCGCCCCAAGCGGGTAGCTTCCACTTCATCCCCCTATTTTACAGATGAGCACACTGAGGCCCAAGTCAAGTCAGAAACCCCATCAAAGTCCTGTAAGCAGTACGTGGTGGAGCTGGGACCTGAACTCCGGCAGCCTGACTCAAGCGTCCCCTGGGTGAGGTTTAGGCTATGCAGATACAGACTGATTTTTTCCAAAGAGCAGTGGGCAGCCACGGAAGGCTATTTAAGCAAAGGACTGATATGATTTCTCAGCTACAAAGAGGAGGAATAACTCCTCTTTCAAGGAAGGGGCTGCTGTGGAGATTATCTTGGTTCATTGAGGACAGTCCTCAGACCAATGCCTGGAGGAAGGGAAGCACTCAGGAGCAGGTGATTCATCAGAGGATTTCACACATGGGCGTCTACTGCCACCATGTGGCCACTTTTCTGTATGACAGGCTATGGATTCCAGTTAGCTGAATTTGGGAGGGGTACGGTTGTTGGAGCAGGCTTGGTCCGGGCGGTCAGAACAAGCTTCACTGGGGCTGCTGGGGCAAGGGGCAAGGGGCAAGGGGCAAGGGGCAAGCTCCCAGAGAGGAGCTGATGTCCCGGGGGTGAGAGTCGTTGTTAGCAGAGGTGCAGAACCCTGTAGCGTATGAACTGATTCAGACATTCAGCCCCGGTTTGGCCACACAAACCAGAATGAGACCTGGTCTTTGCCCCGGAGGACCCCCTATCTGAAGGGGAGACCACATGGGAGATGCGGTTGTGTCTGGGAATCAGTGAGCAGGATTCCTGGGCCCAAATCCCAGTCCAGCCGCTTCCTGGGGCCTCACTTCTCCGAGCACCCGTTCCCTCATATGTGAGTAGGGACAGAACAGAGCCTGCCCAGGGATTGTTGTGAAGACCAGAGGAGGTAACAGAAAGCACTAAGCACCTGTACCTGGCACATGGTCATTGCTCTGTGACCCAGAGGCAGGACGCTCAGCCTGCTCTGAGCCTCAGGACAGGTGAACCAAGCAGCCAGGTAAAATGGAGACAACCTGGACCCCAGCTCCACTGTTGCACTAAACTAGCGACGAGACCTCCCCTCCCAGAGCCTGTTTCACCAGCCACACAGCGTGGGGTCTGGGTAAAACCACTCAGCTCTCTTCTCACTCTAATTTATCAATTCCTTCTTCCAGGCCAGCCCAGATCTTTGGCCCGCGGGGGCCGGGGGGGCGGATATAGAAGAAGAGCTAGAAGGCTTGCCTCCACCCATTCACATACCCAACCCCGGGCATCAGCAAAACGGAGATAATAATGCAAGCCCCGTTCAACCACCGGGTGGCTGGGAGGCGACTGAGATAACGCGGTGAAACCCGGTGCAATCCTCGAATTGCAAAGTGTGGTCCTCGGACCGGACCAGTGTCAACATCACCCGGGAACCTGTGAGAAACGTAGACTCTCCGGTCCTGCCTGGGCCACCGACTCAGAACCTGCAGTTTAGCTCACTCCTCAGCTATTCCTGCACATATGAGTTAGAGACACACTGGTCTGCGCGATGGTTCTCAATGCTGACCACACGGGAGAATTACTGAGGAGTGTTCAAAAATCACGATGGCCAGCTGGCACCCCGGGGGTCTCTGGGGGTCAGGCCCAGACGGCAGCGAGTTTTAAAAGCTCGCCAGTGTAAACAATATTATGAACAGAACCAGAGCTGACATGCCAGAGGCGCTGCCTCGTACCTCGAACCTTGGAATGTTAAAAACAGGGCCAGATAACCTTGGGACAGGCCCTCAGCACCCTTGTGCCTTGCAAAAGAGCCATTTGCAAAGACAACAAGAAAGCAGGTATTATGACTACTGGACTGATGGCTGGGGGACTGAAAACTAAAAACAGTGTTTAGAGTTAATATCGCCCCGTTATTTTATCCGCACCCACAGGCATGCCTCCTTGTACCGACGAAGTCCTTCCCCTTCCCTTTCTCGTAGGCACCCATGGCCTTTGCCCCCTCATCAGACCGTTCCTTGGGCTTCTGCCTGAACAACCGGCCCCTGAATGGCTGTTCTTCCTGACCCCAGCGAGTGCTTGTTTGCCTCTCGCTGTGGGTGGCTTTTTTATGTATAAGCCACTTATGGTAAATTTATGGTAAATCCACTTATGTATAAGTGGAATTACCTGGGTGCCACCAGGTAATTCCACTGTGCACTCCTAACCAGTGCCAAGAAGGCAAACATCTTTTCTCCTTTGCGCCAGCGTAAACTCAGTGGGTAGTGACTTTCTAAATGTTCCCTGGGAAAGATCTGACGTCTGCCCGGGGGCTGGGTACACGCTGACTGCGCGCATGCAGCAAGAGGCTCGCCTGCAGAGTCTCACTAGATGCAGGTCCTGGGCCACCTGCTCGGCAGGGACATTGCGATTTAATCCTTGCGCTAACGGAGATACTATTGTCCTCATTTTACAGGGGAAGAAACAAAGAGGGTGTGACTTACCCAAGCCTACACAGACAGTGACAGAGCTGGGATTTGAACTGAGTTATCTGAATGTTTAACAAGCAGGCTGACCCCAGTGGTCTTCAAACTGTGTTCCTTGGAGCCCCAGGCCCCTCAGAGGCAGCAGAGGAGCTGGCATGGGTGGTGGGTGAGGCTCGGGGGCCTGTGGGTGGGTTGCTCACTGGTCGTCCCCCCAGGATCTCTTTATATTGGGCTTGGCAAAGACTCTTTTTGGGGAGACTGTTCCTTTGCTCGCCAGCCCGGAGCCTCTTGGGTCACGTGGTGCTGTCCAGTCTCCCTGACAGATGTTCCTCCCTCCCCGCTGCCTGGGGACCCCAGGAACTAATCCCCGTCCCGTCCCGTGGTGGACGGCACAGAGGGCTTAGTGCTGGGGGAATCAGGCACCACATCTGCCAGCCCCTGGGAGCCTGGGAGGAGCCTGCGCCTCAGAGCCCGGGGAGCCAGCCCTGCCCTCTGGAACTCGGGGGGTCTGAGAGGCACAGGCCAGCTGCAGCCAGCCTGCATTGCCCTGTCTTTCCTGAGCCTTCCAGTAGACGGTGAGTTGGGGGCTAAGCACCCTGGGGGGCCGACAGGGTGACCAGCTCTCTCAGTTGGGAGGCGGAATTTGGGATGTTCAGTGCTTAAGGCAGGACAGACCTGGGCAGACCCAGACGGGTGGACACCCTCGCAGGTGTTCTGAGCTGGCTTCCCCCTGGCTTCGAGGCAGAGCTCCACAAAGGGGAGGGGGTGTCTGGCCTCCCTCTCCTCCCAGCATTTCCCTGTCCCCTCCCTCTCTTTCCAGAGCACTGCCCCTCAGATCTCTCTTTGCCTTCACGCCTCTACCTGAATTTCCCACTCCCAGCGTCTCCTGGGCTGTGGACTTGGCCGTCAGTGAGCTGGAATCCTGCGCGCCTCGGGGAGAATGAGGAGCCAGGTGAGGCGCAGCCCCGCATAGTCTGGCTGCGAACATTAGCCTAGACCACCCCTGGGCACCCCGCCCTCATCCCGTCCTTTCTGGAGTACCACCACTGGCCCGGACGGCTCAAGGGTTTTGTGTGCATTTGCATTAACTCGCTGAACTCTCAGAACCAACCAGAAACGCTCCTCTCCCGTTTCACATCTCCAGGCCTCTGACTGGAGCGGACACGGCTCATCCCCAGCTCCTCGCCCCCCCCCCAGCTCTGTGCCCATGACCTGCTTACCTCTGTCTCCCAGAGAAATTAGTGTCAGTACTGGCTGCCCACTGGTGAGCAACTTCCTAGGGGCTTCGCACGCATCACCTCACTTGCCTTTACCTAAATTCTATGGGGTGTAGGGACAAAGGTCATTCCCACTATGCAGGTGAGGAAACCGGGACTCAAAGAGGTGAAGTCATTTGTCCAAAGCTAGCAAGGGCAGAACCAGGATCCGGTGTTGCTTCGCCTGGGACCGGAGACCTGCGTCTGCCCGTTCCGCAGTCCCGTGGGCTCCACGGGGGACAGGTGTCGGCCACGGGCACGGAGCCTCAGGGCATATGTAGCACTGTGCCCAGCACACAGCTTGCCCTTGGGGGTTGCTTCTCAGTGTGTGACTGGACCAGGAGGGCTGTCCCAGGGTGGGCGGGTGGGAAGGAGGGAGGAAGGGGGGGTCTGTGGGCTGGAGAGCAACCCCTGGAAGGAGCTGGGGGAGCTGTGGTCAGGGTGGGCCTTGGGAGAGCCTGGCTCTTCCCGGGCCCTCCCCCTGCCAGCGTTTTCCAGCTGGAAAGGGAGAGGGGAGAGATTCCTAGTGGCTGCGGTTAAGTCAAAATGTGAGCAGCTGGCGAGCAGCTTAGCGGTTAAATCCTGGCTGTGCCATAGGGGCTGCTGGAATACATCCTGAGACTGGAGGCAGATGTGAGGTGAGCTGGGCCCCAGAGGAGAGCTAAAAGATGGGGGTGCAGAGACCCCCGCCACAGCAGAGGGCAGGGTGGTGCACAGAACGGAGCTCAACCCCCAGCTCCGTCACCTGCTCTCCATGGCCTCGGCAAGTCGTTTACTGCCTGCACTTCATTCTTCTCCGGGAAGGCCGTGCCGCAGGTGCCTGGTCGGGGGGATAGGCAGGCTGCGTGCCAGGGCGTCCCCCTGGCCCTGCCCCGGGGCCCTGTGCTAGCGCTCAAAGGGCAGCACGTTCACACTTCCCTTCCGCACGGACCTGCTGCCATGTGAGAGCCCCGTTCACTGCTCTGACACCCAGGGAGAGACATCTGCAGGTTCCTGGGATCTTTAACGGCTTCATTAAAAAAACACACAAAAACAAAACTGGGGTATAGTTTACATGCAACGAAATCCATTCATTTTGGTGTACAGCTCTATGCATTTTGACAACTACATACAGTCCTACAACCACCACCATATCAAGATATAGAGCATTGGCCCTGGCTGGTGTGACTCAGTGGATTGAGTGCCAGCCTGTGGACCAAAGGGTCGCCAGTTCGATTCCCAGTCAGGGCACATGCCTGGGTTGCAGGCCAGGTCCCCAGTGAGGGGCACATGAGAGGCAACCACACATTGGTGTTTCTCTTCTTCTCTTTCTCCCTTTCTTCTCCTCTTTCTAAAACACAGGTAGGTAAACTCTTTAGAAAAAAAAGATATAGAACATTCCCATCACCTCCCCACCCGCTTCTGCCTCCTGCAGTCTACCCCATCTCTACTCCAGGCAGCCACTGAGCTGTTTTCTGACCCCACAGTTTTGTCTTTTCCAGAGTGTTATGGAAGTGGGGGGATACAGTCTGTAGTCTTTTGAGTCTGGCTTATTTCACTTAGCACAATGTATCTGCAATCCAGCCACATCGTTGCATATACTGGTGGTTTGTTCTTTTACTTTGCCGAGTAGTATTCCATTGTATGGATATACCATAGCTTGTCTATGCACTCACCAGTTGACAGACATTTGGGTTGTTTCCAGTCTTTGAAAATTATGAATAAAGAATGGCTTCAGTGTAAACCCCAGACTCTACAGCTGGAAGACGCTTACAGCCCAGCTCTCTCCAGCAGTGGAAGAAATGGAGGCCCCAAGAGGGGGTGGGGCTTGTCCAGAGGTACAACTGAATCAGGGAGTGGGGCTGAGATTTGAACCTGTCTTTCAACTTGCAGGGCAAGTTCAAAATGCACTTCCTGAGCACCTGCAAGTGCCAGGTGGGGTGTCAGGTGTTGTGGGCAGAGAAGCCAAGAAGGCATGACCCTGGAGTTAGGGACACTCGCCACCTGGTTGGGAGCCAGGCAAAGAAGCCAGGAGAAACCAGGGCAGGTTACTATTACAATGCAGTAATGGGGTGTGCGCAGAGAGGAGAGGACCTCGGGTCTGCCTGGGGGAGAATGAGAAGGCTTCCCAGTTGCCCGTGGGTTCGGAGGGAGGAACGCAAGTTTGTCGAGGGGAAAGGCCAGCCAGAGGGAACGGCAGGTGCAGAGGCACAGAGGAGAACAATGCAGGGCGTGGGAGCTCAGGGATGCAAGGGGGAGGAGCCGGGGCAGGAAGGGGTCCGTGGTGCTAGTTGGCGTCTGGTCACAGACAGCCTCTCTGGCCAGACGGTTCCCTGTGGGACGGCACCGGCACGTAGGACGGGAACGACCCTCCTTGTGGCAGAGAGTGGAGGACTGGACGGAAACTCAGTGAGGCTGCAGCGAGCGGAGCCTGGGAAGCCGGCGTCAGTGTGCGCAGACACTAGCACGTTTCAGAGACGGCCCAGGAGGCGGAGGGGGGTGGGCTGGGGCGTTCAACCAGGGGTGCGGAAACGACTGATTATCCGTGTGAAAAAAGTGAGATCCCTTCCTCACACCACAACCAGAAATATTGTTGTGTGAAAGTATAGAGATCTATATTTAAGACCTCTGTGAAAAGGATTTCCGAGGCACACTCAGCAAACACACACACACACACGCACAGCAGACAGAAAAGACAGTGCGGATAAATGTGGTTGGCAGCAACCAAAGCCCGCGCACCGAAGCCCTCCATTCAACAGTAACGGCTGGCAGGGCTCACCGCGCGCCAGGCGAGATGCCCTCTGTACGCATTCGCTCGATCCTCGCACATTTGCGAGGCAAACGCTGTTGTCATCTCCATTTCACAGGTGAGGACTCAGAAGCAGAGAGGTTAAACCACTTTCTTAAGGTCACACAGCCAGGAAGGGGCTGAGCTAAGATTCAAAACCAGGCAGTCTGGCCGCAGGTTCTCCACCACACTGTTCTGCCTCTCTGTGTATGATGAACGGAAGTCACCACGAACGCACCGTGACGAGGCCAGCCGTAAGCAAGGGTACCTAAGACTGACACAGAGCTCTAAGTGAGGAAAATGGAATAGAAAAAAAAAAAAACAGGCAACGGATAAAAACAATCCATTCACAGAAAGGCAAACACAAATATATACAATAAACACACGAAAGGGGGTTTCCACCTTATGAGCAATCCAGAAAAAGACAAGTTAAAAACAGCGGTGAGAACCACAGGCGGTGGGAGTGTGGACCGGAGCACCCCTGGAGGGCACTGGGGAGAATCCGGTTAAGCTGAGGATGGCCGTATGTTCCCGCCCAGAAACGCCGCTCTGGGGCACAGCGACGCAGCCTGGGATGAATAAAATACTCACGTTTTTAAGGCAGCCTGGCCCAGCTCCGTGCTCTGTTGCATAATGAAGTACATTCATACAACAGCATACTCCACAGAAAATGAAATGAATAACCCCAAACTACATGTATCGAACTGGGGGGAAAAAGCAAGCCGCAGGAGGATAATACAGCAGGGTGTCATTTGTATGAGATTTAAGACGTGCGGAACGGTACCACGTGCTCTCTGTGGATGCACAAACCCAGTCCAGGAATGAAAGCGTGTGTGACGATCAGCACGGGGGTTTCGTTTGGGGGGATGGGCAGGAGGGTGAAATCGCAAAGGGTAGCACAGAAGGCTTCAACTCTGCCGAGAATGTTTTATCTTCCTCCACTCATTCACTCAACAAATATTCGCTACGGCCTGCGATGTTGCCAGGGACCGCTCTAGGCGCTGGGGATGCCACCGGGAACAAAACCACCCAGGACAAACCACAGGCCACGGAGGAGAGAAGGACAGCGAGGAAGCGGCCCCGTCCTTGGGGAGCGCAGCCTCCGTCAGGTAGACCGGCTGGCAGCCGCTGAGCGACCGTCCTAGGACAGAGAGCATGGGATCTGCCCCACACTCTCGGGCTTTCCCCGCCCCCAGGGCCTTGGAGGGGACCTGGGTGAGGAGAGCGGCGGAAGGTTTCACGGAGGGGGTGCGTTTCAGGTGCATTTCAGTTGGCTGAGGCAGGTCACCAAGCACGTAGAACAGAGAGAGCCGGCCCAGCAGAAGGAGCAGGCTCTGCAGGGGCCTGGAGGTGCAGAGCTACACGCACGGCCGAGCAGTTGAACGGGTCACACCGGGAAGGACCTCGGTTCCGTGGGTGTGAAATCACTCCCAGCTGTGGACTTCCACGATGCCTGGGTGGACCGGAGGCACAGGAGGGCCGGGGTAGGCGTCCCTCTCTCCCTTCCCCCTGACTGACCCCCACGGGGCCCCGGGCCCTGTGTCGTCCTCCTTCCAGACCCGTTGGCGGCTGGGCCGGCTGAAAGTGAGAAGGAAGTGGCTCCTCCCGGCCTCCTGCAGCTTCTTCTTCCTGCTCTCCCTGCTCATGACGGGCTGTTTCCTGTGGCAGTACCACCTCCCCAAGCTGGAGGCCGGTGAGTGCAGCGACACCCTTGGGTTTCTCCCACCCACGTGGCCCTTGTGGGCTTCGAGCTGCCCCTCCCGATCCGGGGTTTAGGGGACTCTCATAACCTCCACCGAGACCAAAGCTCTGTGCGTCTGTGGACCAGCCACGGGATCTCTCTCCCTTGATGTCCTTGTGCATAAAGTGAGGATCCTAATGCCTCCTCCAGACAAAGTGATTTATTCTTTCTCAGGAGTCTGTGGGCTGGCTGGGAGTTCTGCTGCTGGTCCAACCTGAACTCTCTCTGATGCAGCCAGCAAGTCAGCTGGGAGAGCTGGGTCTGGCCCTACCTGCGGACTCTGGTTCTCCAGGCTGCTGTTCCAGGCTTGTCCAGGAGAGGGCAATATTCTCAGGGAGCAAAGGACCATTGGGACCTAATTTTGGAAGGCCCAGGATCAATGATCAATTCCGCCTCATTCTTTTGGCCAAAGCAAGTCCCAGAGCCAGCCAGAGTCCAGAGTGTGAGGAGCTGAAGGAATTCATGGCCACAGTGAATCTCCAGCCTTGTCTCAGTGCTGGGCAGTCTCAGGAAGGATCTGAAAAGGGTGCAGCCTCCTTAGAGGATGGGGGGATGCCTGGGGGCCGTGGGGACCATCCCTCAGCCTGAACCCTGCTCTGCCAAGGCCCAAACCTCCTCCCCCGAGGTTCCGAGGCAGCCACACAGTCAGATCAGAGCAGAGTGAGACTCGAGTTCTCCACGCCCAGAGGCACGGCTCTGGCGTTGGAATGAAGTGTCCCTCGGAGTTCGTGCCTGGAGCCTACGTGGGGCCCCGAGTCCGCTTCTCCACCCAAACGCACAGTCAGAACCGGACAAGGGGAGGCAGGCAGACACACTGGGGGCGGAGCCTGCCCCGAGCAGCTGGGACTTGTCTCCATCTGCTGATCTCGTGGGACGAGGGAGCTGGTCGTACACGAGAGAAGGGCTGCCACTGGGAACTGCGGCCCAATCAGTGTCTCGAAGGTGAGGCAGCCACTGGCATGTGTGGAACCGCCCCTTCTCCAGGCATGCTCTGCTCTTTGCCCTGTGACACCCACGGCTGGTCTCCGTCCCCTGGCGTCCCCTGGTGAGGCTGTTGCCAGCTGGGAGGGTGTGGCTCTGGCCTTAGCTGCCACCTTCCTGCCTCCGCCAGGATGACCACTAGGCTCCTGTCCTGATCTCTGTCCCCTTTTCACCATGTGATGCCCCCGGCAGGTTCCTTGGGGCCAGAAGCGACCTCTGCCCCTGCGAGGATGTGTCCCCAGCACCCTGAGCCTGTGCGCCTGGCCCACCCACTCCCCGTGCTGAAGGAGGCCCTGGAAAAGGTCAGTGATGCTGACCCGGGGGGGGTGTGCGAGGCCTGGGTGATAAAGCGGGGGCACCTGCTCTGTGCTGGGGGTGGCGTTCATTCACTCATTCATCATGTAATTTTTGAGCACGCGCTGACTCTAGGCTAGACACCAGGGACGTGACAAGGAGATTCTGTCCTGTTCTTAAGAAGAAGCTTACCAGTCTGGGAGTGAGGGGACAGTCGAGACACTAAACATTCATAACACAGGGTGAGAGTGAGGACGGAGAAGGCTTGGGGGGCGGTGGGGCACAAAGGAGCTGCCCTTGGGGTCCGGGAGGCTTCTGGAGGGAGTGGAGTGCAGGCTGGGGTGTGAACAGGAGACACCCAGGGGATGTGCACGTGGACAGTAAGCGAGCTCGGGGGCGTGAAGGGCGTGCTCCAGATACAGGGAACAGCACGTGCCCAGACCCAGAGAGAGCAGAGTCCGTACAAGGCACGTAGAGAGAACTGCAAGGACATTCAGTCTGGGGGCGGGGCATAGGTGGAGGGGGAGAATGATGAGATTGGAGAGGATGACAGAGCCCACATCACAGAGGCCACTGCAAAATAATTAATGCCCCCCTCCCCCGACACACACACAACATGACACGTACCGCTGAGGATGGCCCAACAGTAGAGGGCGCTGTCCGCTAGCTCCCGTCTGTGCAGGTCAGGCCCCAGCCACTTGGGGCACTGACGCAAGGAGACACATGGACAGATGATCGGAAGAGAATGAGCAGCAGCGTGGTGGGGGAACTTGAAACTGTCACCCAGGGAACAGCTGGAGGGAAGGAGGCTGGTGCCTCCATACAAGAGAAGGTGCAGGCCAAGGCAGAGAGACACCGTCGCTGTCTGCAGACGCGTGAACAGCTGTTGCGAAGGGGAGGGCACTGAAGGGTCCCTGGTGGTGGGGCTGTCACAGTCAGGAAAGAAAAAGCAATGACAGTAACCATGGCTGCCTTCTGGTGAGCACCTGGTGTGTGCTCACCTGTGTGTGTGAACCCCTCGTGAGTCACTGTGTGTAGAGCAGCAGATTGAGATTCACAGGCACAGCTAGTGCAGGGGTGGAGGCTACCGGTGGGCAGAGCTCCACTCGGGACAGGGAAACCCCACCAGCCGGCCGTCTGTCCAGGACTGGGGCTGCAGTTAGCATGGGGCTCTAACTCTGACTCCACCAGCCATTAGTCTCTTGGGCAAGTCACGTCGTCCACCTCACAGACTCAGTCTTCTCATCTGTTGAGTGGGGAGAAATTAGCACGGACTTATGATGAGGACTGAGACATGAGAATCACTTTATACCGGGCCTGGCACCTTCTAAATGCCGGTATGTGTGAGCTGTTGTCACCACCGATGCACGTCATCGCTGGGAAGAAGGAGGTATTTTCAATCAGTGTTCGGGGAGCACTTAGGGGCCTTGTAGAAGCAGTGACTTCGCCAGCACTGGGGGGTCAGACTAGGCCTGTTGGAGGTTTTCTAGGGCACCAGACAAGGAAGGATTTGACCAGATGGGTGCTTTTGTCTGCTCCTTTCTTTCATGTTCTGCTAAGGAAATGTTTCTATGAACAAAAACCTCACGAGGAAGCCCCACATAGGAAACACATTCTAGTCATGAAACCTCACGCCTGCAGCCAGGGTGGGGCCCACCGCAGAGGCATGGTTTGGGGACCCCAGGTCTGGAGGCTCACTGGGTGGGGGCAGCGTGGAGGGGAGCCAGGCAGGGGTGCTGTGGGCAGGGTGTGGTGCGGGAACGGGCCGGGTGTGCCGACGACAGGCGGGGTGTGTCCCTGCCCCCACACTCCGAGCCCCCTGCTCTTCTCCTGCAAGGTGGACGGGACCCTGCGTGGGGCGCTGTCTGCCCCAGGGCTGGCTGCCGTGTCTGCAGTTGTCGTCCACAGCGACACGGTGCTCTGGACTGGGAACTTCGGGAGGAAGAACGGCTCAGACCCGGCTTCCGGGCCCCCCAATGAGTCCACCATGTACCGGTCAGCTGGGTGACCTCCAGGGTCCTGGGGAGGGGGTGAGGGATGGGAGGACAGGGGACCTAGGAGGTAGGGGGACTCAAGAGAATCATGACTTGGGGGGGTGCCTCCAAGCTGTCGGGGCCCTTTATGAAGTCCCGACAATTTAATAGGTGAGGAGACTGAGGTCCAGAGGGGACCCCAGGGGCAGGAGGTCAGGAAGGAGTCCTTCTGGGGAGCACTGAGTCCCAAACCTCCCTAACTGCAAGGGGCTCCCTTGTATCCCATCGCCCCCTCACCTCCACGTGGCACAATGGAGTCGTAACCAGTCCTGGGCTCTTGCCCCAGGTCCCCGCCACCTGGCAGTAGTGGCCCAGACGGAAACCTCTGGGGGACATTCTGCTGGGCACAGAGTCCCCCCTCCTAGGTTTGCCTGCAAGCGCCTGAAAGCTCACAATGCAAAGTGAGCGCATTCGCTTGCAGAGAAATCGGGAGGATGACAGCAGTTCCCTGCACGCCGCGCACTGCGCCATTCACAATGGGGCCAAGCGTGGGGACAGCAAGTACACTTCCTGCCACTTAGTGAGCACTTACTACCTGCCAGGTATGTTGCCAAACACTCGATTGCACAGTCTTGTTCCATCCTTACTACCACCTGTGAAGCGGACAAGGACGCTGAGTCTCAGAGAGTCTGGTACTGGCCCAAGACCACTCAGCCGGTGAGAGGCGGTGGGAAGGCCTGGGCGAGGGCCTGCCCCAGGGCAGATGCCACAGGGGCGACCCACCCGCAGCCTGCGGGCCGCATGCGGCCCTGCATGGCTATGGATGCGGCCCAACACTAAATCATAAATTTACTTAAAACCTTTCTTTTGCTGATCAGTTTTCATTAGTGTTTGTGCACTTAATGTGTGGCCCAAGACACGTGTGGCTCTTCTTCCAGTGTGCCCAGAGACACCAAAAGACTGGACACTCTAGGCTGGAGTCTCCATCCAGCCCAGCCCCACTGCCCCTGGTGTATTCTGCAGCTTCCCAAAGCCAGCTCTACAGGGGCTGGTGAATTTCCGGCTGAGCCGCTGAACAAGGTGGACTCGGTGATTTTCTAGAAGGCTAGAAAGTTAGGGGCTGGGGCGCAGGGTAGAGATGGGTCATGGGGCCAACAGGACGTGCCCTGTGCCCCCAACACTGTCTAGGATCTCCAGTGTCTCCAAGATCTTTCCGGTCCTCATGCTGTATCGCCTGTGGGAGGAGGGCATCGTGGCCTCTCTCGATGACCCCCTGGAGCGGTATGCCAGCGCCTTCACCATCAACAACCCACTGGGTGCGGCCTCAGCCCCCCAACAAGGGAGGCCGATGGATGGGTTGGAGGAGGGGGACCCAGCCCCAAGGCCTTCACCCGTCACCCTCCGAAGGATGGCCAGCCAGCTCTCAGGTGAGCGGTTCTGAACTCACCTTGCTTGGCCCCAAAGATTTCAGGTGGGAGAACTGATGAGCAGATTCTCATGCAGCCAGGCGAGGCCCACTCCTTGCTCCGCTTCCTGCACTGGCCGGAGCACCCTCTCACCCTCCCTGGGCAGCGGGCTCGGGGTAGGAAGAGCCGGTGAGGCAAAAGCTGAGGTGAAGCCTGAAACTTCAGACACAGGGGACAAATCAAGATCAGTCGGTAGGTCAAAAGCAAGTTGACGTGTCAAGATCTAGTTACTAGGTCAAGGACAAGTCAACAAGTCAATATTTGTAGACGATTCTCGAATGAAGACCTAATTTCCCTTAATATATAAAGAGCACCCACAAATCAATACAGAGACCAACAATCCAATAGAAAAATGGGTAAAGGATGGGAACAGAATAGACAGTTCACAGAAAAGGGACCACAAATGGCCCTTAAGAATACTAAAAAATATTAAAAGATGCTCAACCTCATTCATAACAAAATTAATGCACATGAAGACTGCTGAGCGACATCTTCCCCCTTTCAGACTGGCAAAGGCCCAAACACTGGGTGTGTGGAGTTGGTGGGTTACAACGAAACAGGCCTTCTTATACATCAGCGGTGGGCATTTCAGTTGGCACAGCCTGTGGGGAGGGCGCTCGGTCATCTCTGTCACAGTTAGAGATGCACATGTCCTTTGACTCGCAAACCCCGCTTCTAGGACATTTGCAGATGTGCGCACACATGCAGTGAGGAGGTGTGAGCGTCGTTATTCACTGCAGCGCTGTGACAGTGAAAGAGTGACACAACCTAAAGGTCTATAAATGGGGGAGTGAATTAACAAAATATGCCACAGTTACATGCTACAATCAAATACTCTGTAGCCTTAAGAAAAGGTAACCATGCTCTTTATGTGTTGACATAAGAGTAAGCTACAATGTTAAGTGGGGAAAAAAGCTCATAGCATATGTGGTAGACTACCATCTGTATAAATAATATATACACGTACACATACACATGAATGCGTATACATAGTGCATGTGTGTGCATGTGCGCACACACACACGTGTGTATCTTTGGAAGAGAACTAAAGCGGTTGGTACAATGGGTTGCATCCAGGGAGGGGAACTGGGTGGCTGGGGACAGGGTAGGAGAAAATTTCTTCAGCGTGCATCCTTTGGCGTCTGTTGAAGTTTGGGTAATGTAAATGAATTACTTGTTAAAAATAAATTCCATGGTGATCGTAATGACAGTGGTGATGCAATAAGCCAAGATGAAGCGACCTAACAGGAGGGCAGGAGCTGGCCGGGGTACTGGGCAGCACTGGACCAAAACAGGCTGGATGCTGCGGCATAGTTCCGGAAGCTTCCAAAGCGCCCTCTGCTAGCCCACATGGCCACCTGCCACCTGTGACTGAGGAGGGTGGGCTTAAAGCAGGGGTGTATGGGGGTGGTCACCAGGCTGAGCTGCATAGTGGATGATCCCGCCAAGGGCAAGAAGGCGGGCACCATGCGCCCCCCCCCCCCAAAATGCCCTTTATTGCTCATATTCGCAGTCACCAACCTATCACCCCGAAGGGCAGGAGTTCTTCGCGAGTGCCCACCATCCGTCACTTTACAAAGTGAGCTCAGGCCTGCATCTCAGCCGGTGAACGTGGCTGGGGCTCAGTGGGGGGCGGGGGTCCCCTGAGGCAGCCTGGGCAGGACGGGGTCAGCTCTTGGAGGAGGCTGGCCTGGTTGTGAAGGGCCCAAGTACTGGAATTCCTCCTAGCTGTGTGGCCTCGAGCAGGTCACTTAAATTCCCTGAGCCCTGTTTTTCTCCTCTGGGAAATGACGGGAGTTCAGGCTACTCCAGGGAGTTAAATGAGCTAATGAGTGTAGAGCGTTTAGCAGAGTGCCTGGCACACAGCAGGCACTTGTCAATGTAGCTCTGGTTATTGTGGCCAGGGGTAGACCACGGTTTAGTGGGGCCTGATGTGGATATAATTTTGGGGTCCCCCTTAAGAATACAATGTTATAAATTCAAAACTAGAGACAGGTCTTGGAAGGGGCCCCACAGGTGAGGACTCTGAGGTTTAAACTCAGTGAGCCTCCTATTATTAAATCCATCCTATTTTTAATCTGACTCCAGGGCTCCCTCTAGGGGTGTGTTGTGAATTGTTCTTCATATACCCAGGGAACCCAGCCCAGGGCTCCTAAGTGTTTGGTCAGGTCTCCTCTTAGCCCAAAGGGGCCAGATAAGCATACAGCAGCTGAAATAACTGTGTTCTAGGTCCCCAATGTCTTTATGATTGACCCTTGTCCTAATCTAGAGCTTTTTTTTTCCCATTTTTGGAGCTTTTTATCCATTCTCTGAATTAAGTCTTGCAACACTTCAGAGGAAAACCACTGCAGGTGCTTCAGTACACTTAAAGATGAGCAAACAGAGGCTCAGAGAGGTAAAGTGCATGGTCTGGGGTCACACAGCATGAAATGCCACAGTCAGAACTTAAATCCAGGACTTGGGACTCCACCTCTCAGTTACTCAGGCCAAGAGCCTTAGAGTCATCCTGACAGCTCTCACCCCCACACCCTCCACACCCTCTCGGGGGGCAAATTCCGTTGGACCCACTCTCAGATATGTCCAGAATCCACCCACTCCTCACCACCTCCACTGCTAGCACCCAAGTCTGAGCCACCACCATCTACACATGGACTTTTCCAAGTGTGCTAACAGGCTTCCCTGCTTCTGCCACTGCCCCCGAACGTCTGTGTTTGCACAGCAGCCAGAGCGACCTTGACAACATATATGTCGGATTACATCATTCCTCTGCTCACACCCCCTGCAGTGGCCCCATCCCACCCAGGGAAGAAGCCAGGTCCTTCCGGTAGCCTGTAGCACCCTGTAGGATCGGGTGCCCGCACCCTCAATCTCTCTCACCTACAAAGTCTCCCCCATCTCACTCCTCTCCAGCCACACTGGCTGTTGCACGCTATTATTCCTCAAACGTGCCAGGACACCCCTGCCTCAGGACCTTTGCACTTGCTATTCTCTCTGCCTTCTCGAGGGTCACCTCGACAAGGTCTTCCTCTGAGCAAATTATTTTTCTCCACAGCACAACTATTTATCAGTTTGTTGTCCGTCCCCTTCACTAGAATGCAAACTCCACATGGGCAGAGACTTCGTTCACTACCGGATCCCGGGTACCCGGGACAGTCCCCGGCACAAAACACAGGCTTGAAATCAATGTCTTGCTGAGTGGACGGATGGAAAGAACCCCGATCCTGTGATCCTTCCAATATTTGTCACATCTAATAAACAGAAAAGCCCAAGTGGTTAGCAGAGCCAGTCCCACAAAGCTGTTCGGCCACTGATCTGAAGAATTGCATGGAATCAAACTTCTGTGGTTGCTGATAATTATTTTTTGAGCAATTACTATGACTGGGCACCATGCTAAGCATTTTATTTCACCTAATCCTCACATCATCCCTGTGACAGAGAGATTATTCCACTCACAGTATGGACGGGGGACTGGGGCTTGGGAGGTTCAGTGGCTTGCCCAGTGAACACAAACAGGGTTCGAGTCCGTCCTGGACTATTTTTTTTAAGGTTTTATTTATTTATTTTTAGAGAGGGAAGAGAGGGAGAGAGAGAGAGAGAAACATCAATGTGCGGTTGCTGGGGGTTATGGCCTGCAACCCAGGCATGTACCCTGACTGGGAATCGAACCTGGGACACTTTGGTTCGCAGCCCGTGCTCAATCCACTGAGCTACGCCAGCCAGGGCTCTATTTTTGTTTTTTAGACAATTTTGTTGTTGTTACCTTTCAACCCATGGGAGGTGGGGGGGAGTGCACCCAAAGGCCCATCACCCCACCCTCAGCTGGCCCAGCAGGTCTGACCACTGCTCCTCCCCAGGGCTGCCCAGAAGGCTCCGGGGCACTTCGCTGCTGTGGAGGGGCAGCACCCAGGAGGCCCTGAGCCTGCTCAAGGACGACGTGCTGGTAGCAGACCCGGGAACCAGGTGAGCAGTGCGCCTCAGTGCTCCGCCGATGTCAGGGACCTCCCATGGAGACACATCCCCCCCCATAGAGACTGATCCCCTCATCCTGGGTGGTCAGAGCCAGAAGAGACCCCTGGAGTCACTGGATACAGCCCCCTGTGCCACAGCGGGAAAGACTGAGGCCCGGAGAGGGATGGTGCAGCAAGGCGGGTTCTGTTTGAACCTTAAGTTCTTTCCATTCATTAGGTCAACATTTTTTTTTAATTTTATTTTAATCATTGTTCAAGCACATTTTTCTGTCCTTTACTTCCATCCCAGCCCACCCACCCAACCCTTCCCACCTCCCTCCCATTCCTACCCCCCCCCCAGTTTTTGTCCATGTGTCCTTTATATTTGTTCCTGCAAACCCTTCCCATTCTCCCCTGAAATTTCCTCTTCTCTCCCCTTTGGTCACTGTCAGCCTGTCCTCTATTTCAGCGTCTTTGACTATGTTTTGCTTGTTACTTTGTTTTGTTGTTTAGGTTCCTGTTAAAGGTGATATCATGTGGTATTTGTCTTTCACTGCCTGGCTTGTTTCACTTAGCATAATGCTTTCCAGCTCCATCCATGCTGTTGTGAAGGGTAGGAGCTCCTTCTTTCTTTCTGCTGCACAGAATTCCATTGTGTAAATGTACCATAGTTTTTTGATCCATTCATTTACTGATGGGCATCTAGGTTGCTTCCAGCACCTAGCTATTGTAAATTGTGCTGCTATGAACATCGGGGTGCAAAGGTTCTTTTGTATTGGTGTTTTAGTGTTCTTAGGATAGAGACCCAGCAGTGGAATTGCAGGGTCAAAAGGCAGATCCATTTTTAGTTTTCTGAGGAAGTTCCATACTGCTTTCCATAGTGGTTGTACCAGAGCTCAATATTTACTGAGCACCCACTCTGCCCAGAATGTGCTAAACTGAGACGCAGCAGAGAACCAATCCAACCAGGCCCTCCTCATGGAATTTGCATTCTTGGGAGTCAACAGTGAGCATTCCTATCAGTGAAGAGATGAGCAAGATAAATACAGATTTTGTCAAGTCCATCATGGAAATAAATGGAATATTGATGAGATAGGGAGTGGACAGCTGGGTGGCCACAGAACAGAGAAGCCCAGCTCTGGCTGCAGAGGGGCTGGACAGAGGTCAGCTGGCGCTCCCCTGCCTCAGAGGCACCCTTCCAGGCCTGCTGGCCTTTTCTCGGGGGTGGGGGGGTGACACCCTTTTCCAGACTCGCCCCTCTGCTTCTTCAAATGCTGGACCTCAGGTGCCACTTTCTGAGGAAGAAAGGACTCAGGTGTGATTAGACACCTGCAGGCCGGAGTCCGGCTTTCGGCCCTGCCACTGTGACCTTGGAGGATGCACTCTGACTCTTGGAAACTCACCTTTCTCATCTGTTTTTTTTTTAATATTAAAAAAAAATTAAAGATTTTATTTATTTTTAGAGAGGGAAGGGAGGGAGAAAGAGAGAGAGAGAGAGAGAGAGAGAGAAACATCAATGTGCAGTTGCTGGGGGCCATGGCCTGCAACCCAGGTATGTGGCCTGACTGGGAAGGGAACCTGCAACACTTTGGTTCGCAGCCCGTGCTCAATCCACTGAGCTACGCCATCCAGGGCTCTCTTCTTAACAGAGAGGCCACATTAATAAGAGAGGTCACATTAGAGTTTGGGAATGTCTAAATGGATGTGTGGGTGCTGGAATTACTCCTTCCCCAGAAAAGAAGTGAGACATCTTATTGATTATCAGTGTCTGCTGTGGCTGGGGAGAAGGGAGGGGTGAATCCTGCCTTCGGTTTCTTATCCTTGAGCTACACGATGGCTAGAATTCTCCCCCTCCCCCAGAACAGTCAAAGACTCTAGTTTTGCATTTGCTAATGTAAATCGTACTAAAGTGTAAAGGACCAGGAAGTTTTGTTTTACCAGGGGCATTGCTCAGCCTGGCTGTCCCTCTACCTGCAGTGAGACCCAGGGCAAGTCTCTGCCCGCCTCTGGGCCTTCCTCTTTTGGGGTGTAGAATTAGTGACCTCTGTCTCTCTGCTGGGTCTGACCATCTGGGATGCAGTGAGGCAGGTTCCTGACCGATCCAGTCCAAGGACACTCTGGTGGCATTTCAGACCGTTTGAGCAGGTGGGAGGGGGCTAGTTAGGGTCTGAAGATGTTCATCCTGGGCTGCAGCCAGTTTCCACCCCTCCGGTTCCAGGTGCCATTACAGCACCCTGGCCTTCTCGCTTCTGGCCCACGTCCTGGCAGCCCACACGGTCCAGGGCGACTACCAGCGCTGGATCTTGGAGAACGTGCTGGAGCCGCTGGGGATGGCAGACACAGGCTTCGACCTCACTCCTTCTGTCCGCGCCGGCTTGGCGGCTGGCTTCTACGGCAGCGGGAGGCCGGCACCGCTCTACGACCTGGGTTGGTACCGCCCCTCGGGCCAAATGTACTCCACCCCTGCGGACCTGGCCAAGCTGGCCATGGCGCTCCTGGGCAGCGGGCCCCGGCGGATTCTGGGGCCCGACGCGGCGAAGACACTGCTAGCACCGCTGCTGGCCTGCCCGGGCGCCTACTTCGCCAACGAGACCGGCACCCCTTGGGAGTTCCATATGCAAAGGGCCTACCGCGTGGTCCGCAAGGACGGCGACTTGGACGGCTACGCCGCTACCTTCTCCCTGGTGCCACCGCTGCGCCTGGGCCTGGTGCTGCTGCTGGCCGGCCCGCGGCCATCCGGGCCCGATCTGGTGGCGCAGGCCTATGATGTGCTCCTGCCGGCCATGGAGAGGGTCCTCCGGGAGGCGGAGCGCAGCCCCGCCCCACCACCCAGCGCGCGCCCCTTCACCGGCTACTTCACTTTCGCCAACCTGACCTTTTATGAGGTGCGCACCGGGCCGGCGGGCGAGCTGCGCCTGCGCCAGTTCGGGCCCCGCGTCGAGGCCCTGGTGCCCCCAGCGTTCCGCACCTTGGCGCTGCGCCACCTGCGCGGCCGGGTCTTCCAGCTGCACGTGGCCCGCGAGTTCCCGTGCGCGTTGCCGCTTGGCGACACCTGGCTCTCCCTCGAGGCCCAACACGGGCAGCTCGTCCACTTCTACCCGCTGGACCGCCACGGGCTGTCCCCGGGCTTTGACGTGCCAGGCCTTAACACGTACCGGGTGCTGCGGCTACTGCGCAAGCCCGTGTTCAAGACCCAGTGATTCCCCGGCTTTGTGTGGGGCCTTCCCTGCCTCACCTGCCAGCTTTCCGACCCAGGTTTGGAAAGTGAGGCGATGGGGATGTCTAACAGAGAAACGGGGTAGTTGACAAAGTGGGGCGAGGCAGAGCTACTGCAGGTGTGATCCCCGGACCACAGCAGGTTTGCGAACTGTTTGTTATCCATGGGGTCACGGGTGAGATGAGTTTCTAACGGTTTCCGACTACCGTTCAGCTATGTGATTTTGTTTCACAATCTACATTTGACCTTTAAGACAGTTGAAAGCAGACTTATTCTGGAGGAGGCTCCACCCTTGGCTCCTGTGGAAGTTCCCCTGGGCACCTCCTTGGGACTCAGGGCGTGCGGAACAGCGTTTGAAGAACGCCCAGGGAGTGCTCCCTCCCAGGCTAAGGAGTCCAAGGCTCCTCTGCGTTTGTGTTTCTTCCGTCCGACTCTCCCATGGCTGCCGCCTTCTCATCCCATAGCCCCCAGCTCACATTCCCCTCTCCAGAGAAGCCTTCCCTGCCACTCTCTCTGAGTCTGCCGCCCTCGCTGACGGCACCACAGAAACCCACTGGTTTCTTTCCCAGCGCTGAGGGCAATCTGCTGTTATTTCTTTTATTTGCTTAAATAAGCGCTGCAGAGTTCAAGAAAGCAGGGGCTTCATCTCTCCTGCTCCCAGGTGTACCCCCAGGGCCTGGCACAGCGCCCGGCATGAGAATGCAGCCAATAAGTGTCTGCTCGCGGGAGGGATGAGGCTCAGAGAGGGGAAGCAACGTGGCTCCGCCACACAGGAGTATAGGGACGGAGCCAGGATGAAGGTCAAGTCCTCTGGCAGTCTTCCACCAGCCAATCCCTGGTCTAGGGTTAGCGGTCACTATAGGCAGCGGGGAGGGGGCTAGGACAGTTCAGGGACAGGCCCAGGAAGAGCTGTTGCAGTAAACCCCCAGCCTCCCAGAATGACCTAGAGGGCACTGCAGCTAACGTGGGGAAGCAGGGTGCTGGGATTTCCCTTCCGGGGAGATCAAGACTCCACAAAGGGAAGACCCAGGCCGAGGCCTCCAGCTGTGGACCTCCTGCCAGGGTGGTCGGGCCACAGCCCCTTCTCACCTAGAGGCCGAAGAGAGGGAAGAGGGGACAAGCCCAGCTGGGCCTCGGTCAGGGAGGAAGCCCGCCAGACTCACGCCTGAGAGCGCTTGGGGCTTCTCAGCTGTTTCTCCAGGAGTGATGGGATTGAAAACCCAAGGTGAGACCCTTGGTGGCAGAATCCCAGGCATTGGGGGCAAGTGAGAGGCACCCTGGCAGTCCTCCGAATCCCACCATTTAAGGAAATCAGGAGAGAGGTCACGCAGTGTCCAGGCCACTGTCAGAGCGATCCAGAGGGCAGGGATGACAGCCTCACTTTTCTCTAGCCTGCCCAAGGTCACAAGTTGGTCCGTGAGGTTCTGCCTCGGCCTTGTAGGACTCCGAAGCTCTTTCTACCACTCCTTGTTGCCTCGGGAGGTGGGGCCTACGATGGGCTTACCTGGTAGGTCACCCGGGTGTGTGCTGTGCCGGCGGGGCTGGGATCACTCACTGTCCCCATGACAAGGGGGCTCCTTCCTTGGCCTCAGAGCCTCACTCCAGGGCTCGGTGTCCCTGGAACAGTGCGAGGAAGGGTCCAGCCCCAGGGTTGGTTTTGAAGAAAGAGGGGGAAGAAGAGGGAATCTGTAGATGGTACTGGGGTGCTCCAGTGTCACAGGAGACATGGGGGGAGAAGGTGGCAGAGCTTTCTGAGATAGAGTTTGAACATCCAGGAAGAGCCAAAAGAGCTCAGTTTCAGAGTACAATATACCTGGGTGTTCCCCCAGCCAGGCCACATTCAGCTTGACCTTGGGCACTTAAGACACCCCGCTTCTGTGAGCCTCAGCTGGCACCTTTGTGAAATGGGGTGGCAGCCCCCGCTTGTGCTGCGGCCAGTTCGCACGGAGTGGCAAGAGCCAGCTACAGTTCCAGGGACTTTGTGAACCAGTTGTTAAATGCCATCATTGAAAATTAAATCATATACACTTATGAAAGCATACATTGTATTAAAAGCAGACTCAACCTTCGTCAGTCCCTGATTATTTAACTGTGTTGTTATTATCCATGTTTTAAGGTTATTTATCACTTACATCTATCGTGTCTGAATTCTGGAAATACTTTGTAGTGATGCATTACTGAGCATCTCTTCCCGAGCCGGTGTTCGGTGACTCGTGTTGGTAGTTTGAAACTGGCCTGGGCGGGAGCATTTACACCAAGGCAAGTGGCAGTGATGGCAAATAAAGGCTTGATTTATTTATCCTTTTGTTGATTGCCTAGACCTAAGAGAATGTTGGGTAACATGTTAAGGTAGATTAAATTTAAAAGTGTGACATGGAGAATAGCACCAAAAATCGAGGAAATACTCTTCCGGTATTTGAAACTATGATCTGATTCAGGAAAGAAGTGACTCGTGTCATTGGGGAATGAGCGAAGTTCCAACACACACCTTCACTTCTTCACTTTGATCTCAGTCCTTAACCCGAACGACAATGTCAACCAGTGTTGACGAACCACACCTGGGGAGTCGGTCGACAAACTCTCAGCAGCACTTGCGCCCCAGGAGTAACCATCTCTGGGTGGCTGTGCTCATTCTGTGACAAAATGTGTGCGGTGGTGGTGCCCCTTCCCCAGACCACCCCCGACAAACTCCCCGGCTGGTGTGGCTCAGTGGACTGAGTGCCGGCCTGTGAATCAAGGGGTCGCCGGTTCGATTCCTAGTCTAGGGCACATGCCTGGGTTGCGGGCCAGGTCCCCAGTGGGGGCATGGGGGAGGCAACCACACATTGGCGTTTCTCTCCCTCTCTTTCCCTCTCCCTTACCCTCTCTAAAAAATAAAAAAAAAGTAAATAAAATCTTTAAAAAATAGCAAAGACAAGCACACTGGTTAGGTAACTACAACCTTTAGAAAAATTCCCTAGTCTCTTATTTCAACCAGATCGGCTGCTCCTGAGTTCTCACTATGGGAAAATTCTGGGACCAAGTGCCTGGCCTGAGACACAGCATTACCGTATTTCGCTGTGTATAGCGCACACCTATTTGCCCACATTTTTGAGGGAAAAATAAAGATGCACATTATACACAGGTACAATGATTACACACCATCGGTTTGACAATCCCACATATAACATGCACAAAAACGTGGGTGTGCAGTGTACACAACAAAATATGGTACTAATGTCAGGAGTGGGAGTTCTGAAGATAGGATAAGCTTTGGTGCAACCTTCTCTGCTTCCTGCCCCATCACTGCATCTCTAGTTCCCCTTGCTGGCCTGGACCTCTGCTGGGGTGGTGAGCAGGAGGCAGGGAGTCAAATCCTCACCACTCCCCACTAGCCCCAGGGATCCCAGCTTCCTCCCTGGGGCTCAGCCCTGGCCTGTTACCAGCCCCTGCCCCCAGGGGGCAGAGTGGCTCCATGGATGGGAGCGTTAGCTCAACCTTCATCCCCTTGCCTCCCATCGGGACAGGGAGGATCCCAGAACCCCTCTGGCTGCTGGGCTGTCCGCAGGCACTCTGCCAGGACCGCACGTGCCAGCCCCCATTCTCTGTTTCACTTTCACACAGGTCTTGCAGAGCAGGGTCTGTCATGCTCTCCCTGCCTGAATCCCAGGCCTTCGGGTGGACCTCTCCCTGCCCTCCTTGCTACGTCCTCTTCAGACCTCCCCCCTTTAACTCAGGGGCCCCTCCCCCTCTGCCATGACTGTTTTAGCTCCTGGCTTGTTGTCAGGGCCCCAGCCGCTCCAGCAGGACTCTTGACCTCAGGGAACTATGTGGGATGATGCCACTGACACTCTGGCCCTTCTGTTCCTCGACTCCCTCTCTTGCCTGGATCTGGCTGGACCTGCAGAAGACTGGACATTAGAAGTAGCCCCGCTCCCCCAACGCAGGCCTGGCCTTTCCCCACACAGAGCGCAGGAAGCTCGGTTTAAGGGATGAAGCAGGACACGGTGTGCAGAGCACTCGGAACCACGCCTGACAGAAAGCGAGTGCTGGGCGAGTTGTCTGTGGTTGAAGTGTGACACGGGGTGTGTGTGGTTGGATCAGTGTGGGGTGAGCTTGAACACGAGCCTGCATCCGCATGTGCGTGTGTATGCGTGAATATGTGGGCATGTGGGATTTGACGGCTTTGTGAGTGCCTGTGTGTCTGTGTGTGGCCGATGGCACCAATGAGTGTGTATGGGGGTGAAGGGGGCTCTTCATGCACGTGCGTGTGTGGACAGGGGTGGGAGGCCGGGGCAGGCGTCCGCTCGTGTCTTGCTGCCTTGGAACCAGCAGCAGCAGCAGCAGCCGTAGAATCTCAAGTTTTACCATTGTGCCATCCAGGGGCCGGAAGGGGAGGAGGTGCCAGCACTGGGCAGGGGGAGGGCGGCTGGTGGCCCCAGGACTCTGCATGCTGAACCATCAGGGTGTCTGGGGCAGAGCTGGTCCAGCAGACACTTTGGTCTGATGAGGATGCGTGGGGGTGGGGGGCAGGCCATTTCTTACAGTCCCACCTGGAGCTGGGGGAGGGGGCCACCGTGGCCATGATGCCAAACTCAGTGAGAAACTATGGGGAAAGCTCCTCCGTTTCTGTTTGTCTCCTTGGTGACACGTTTTTGGCAGCAACAATGCCTTCGTCCCTGTGACATGGCTGAGCCTGTGGATGTCCACATAGGGCCAGGAGGGACAATGAAAGGTCTCAGCTGCCCGTTGGGTGGGAAAGAAGAGTGAGCAGCAGATTGAGAGGGACAAGTAGGGATTGGTGAGAGAGCTGGGAGGGAGGGGACCCGGGCCAGACCACCGTGAGACCGCACTGGATCCGAGGTGGGCAGGAGAGCCCAGGCGGGGCCCAGTGCAGGCCAGGGATGGGGGCGGGTGGGCCTGCAAGGCACCAGTCTTCACAGAGGCGCTAGACTAGGACGGACTGATGCCGTCTCGGGTGGTGATGGGTCAGCGGCCCCAGGGTGTGTAAGGAAGGCCTTGGGTTGGCATGCTGGGCTCTGACGGTGCTCTGTCCCTGAGAGTGGTGTGCGACCCAGCTGGCTGCACTGTGGGCTCTCAGAATCTTTTCCACCCAGCACCCAAGACCACCTCACAGGGGCCGGCAGCCCTGTTGCCAGTACCTGCAAACTGGTTAAGCTGTCATTTGCTGTTTTTTTTAAAAGATGTTATTTATTTATTTTTGGAGAGAGGGAGAAAGTGAGGGAGAGAAACACTGATGTGTGTGAGAAACATCATCTGGTTGCCTCTCACATGCCCCCAACCCAGGCATGTCCCCTGACGAGGAATCAAACCAGCGACCTTTTGGTTTGTAGGCCGACGCTCAATCCACTGAGCCACACCAGCCAGGGCTGTTATTTTTAATGTGGTAGCCATGTTTACGTCTACTTTACTTACGCAGTAATTCGCAGCACAAAATGCAGGGTCCGGCAGAAGTGAGGCCTGCTCGAGTGTGGTTGGTGGGGCAATAATATGGGTGTGATCATTTATAGTTTTAATTTGAACACTTCCCCCTAAATGTCATATGGTGTGCTTGGGTGTGATATTGTTATGCTACAGAATGATGTGCTTAGGATTTTGTAATAAAAAGGGGCGTTCTTTGTGCCAGACCCTGCCTATCCCTCTTGACTTCATACCTTTGTGTCTGCTGGCCCCTCTACCTGAAATGCTTTGTCCACTTCTAGCTTCCAGGAAAACCCCCAACTATGCTTTAGAGCCCTGGTCGGGGCCTCCAGGGGCTCCCGTCCAGGGTTAACTGCACCCTTCCCAGAAGCTGCGGACACTTGGGTTGTTGCGCCACTTCTGTCTCCCCCGTGGTGTCTGATGCAGCACCTGTTGTGCAGCGGGGCTGTGCTCAGTGCTTTTCCAATGAGAGAGAGAGAGAGAGAGACAGCCTCGGACGCCCCGCCCCTCTGACTTCCCCACCACATTTCCGGGCCCAACCTCCGTCTCAGCCCTGCTGTGCCTCCGACCCCAGAGTGTTGCCCGAGCTGGTGAGCTTCTCCACGTGTGCTCCCGGGGACACGGGGCCCGTGAGGCGCTCCCTCCACAATGGGAAACCCTGCAGGTGATGAAACCTTTAGACTTAGGGGTGTCCAACTGCTGGTGTGTGGGCCGCATACGGCTCAGGATGGCTAAGAATGTGGCCCAAAACAAAATTGTGCATTTACTGAAAACATTATGGGATTTTTTTTGTGATTACGCTTCACAGTATATTTAATGTGTGGCCCTTAAACAACTCTTCTTCTAGTGTGGCCCAGAGATGCCAAAAGGTTGGACACCCCTACAGTTAGAGATTCGCATTGCACTTTTAAAGTACAGGATTTTGCCCTGGTTGGCATTGCTCAGTGGATTGAGTGCGGGCTCGGGAACCGAAGGGTCGCCAGTTCGATTCCCAGTCAGGGCACACGCCTGGGTTGCAGGCCCAGTACCGGGAGCTCGAGAGGCAACCACACATGGATGCTTCTCTCCCTCTCTTTCTCCTTCTCTTCCCCTCTGTCTAAAAATAGATAAATAAAATCTTTTTTTTAAAGATTTTATTTATTTATTTCTAGGGAGGAAAGGGAGGGAGAGAGAGGGAGAGAGAGAGAGAGAAACATCAATGTGCAGTTGCTGGGGGTTATGGCCTGCAACCCAGGAATGTACCCTAGCTGGGAATCGAACCTGGGACACTTTGGTTCCCAGCCCGCGCTCAATCCACTGAGCTATGCCAGCCAGGGCTGATAAATAAAATCTTTTTAAAAATATTTTTAAAATAAAGTATAAGATTTTAAGTATAGTTAAGAAATCTGATCAACTTGCCCAAGTCCAAAATTTGCCTAATGAGCCTTCTCTGAATGCCCCCTTCCTTTTTTTTTTTTTTTTAAGCAGAACTTCAAGTGATGTTTATTTGACAGACAGGTGCTGAGATCCCCTGGTAGGCCCGGCATTGTCCTGCCCTTGGAGAACGTAGCCGAGTGCGTGGCAGACATGGGCCCCGGCCCTTCCCAGCCAATCCCCAAGAGCCAGCGCTTGTGTGTGCTACGCACTCGATGGGCTTCATTTCCTTTAATCCTCGCCCACGTGCTAGGAGTTAGATGTTATTGCTCCATTTTACAGACGTGAACATGAGACCGAGAGCAGTTATGTGACTTCTCCACGGAGACATGGCCAACAAGTGACAGAGTTGGTATTCACGCCCCAGGACCCCTGAGGGCAGAGCTCGGACTCAAACCATTCTGAGCACCCTTGGGAGTTACCGTTCCAGCTCAACGCCCCTCCCCAGCCCAGGCCAAATCCCCA